TTGCTTGTCATTTTGCCAACGACAAATGCCCCAGGTCTAAGGATGTGGTTCAAAGCCCCTGTTCTGTGCAATTTCTTAATATTACTGAATAGGAATAATCAATCAGTGAAGAATGTCACAGTAGACTATATTGTTAGCATTTATGCTTACTGTGGACCATACATAAAGATCATCATGGGTTTGGGATTTCTGCTTTACGAGAACCATGATACCATTCAGCTTTTTCCCCCTTGTTAAGAAAGCCAAACTCTACGGTGTGTTACTTGTACAGTATCTTATGGCTTGATCCATCCTTAACCTCCAGTGGTAGAAAGGAGTCAGAAACTTGAATGAAATGGTGCAGTTACCATCCATGCGTTTGTCTGACCTCACCTGGGATGCTTTTCAGTCCTTCTGTCCAGAATTTCCATGTGATGTATTTATTCTTCTCTTTTCTCTCATTTACTCCCCTCTTCCTCCCACATCCAAGATGGTGTTGAAAAAGGGGTTCAGCTTTGAGTTTCTGTTAAGTCACGACTGTCACATTTCTAGGCTAGAGCTAATGCTGCAGACTATCTTCAAAAATCATGGGGAAATTTCAATTGCAAGTCATTTGTTCCCGTGCTAAATGAGTTGAGCTGTTTCAGCAGTAACTCAGGGTTCAGATCTGTATTTGCATCTCAAAGCACCTAAGATGATTCTTAATTTTAAATGTACAAATGATCTTACTAATTTCACAAAACAGGCGGTGCGGAGTGATTACAGTTATCTTTAGTAACCCTAAATGGTGCTGGATCCAGTAGCTTACTGGAGGTGTCTTTCAGCTCAGCTGGGGTGCTCTCAGTACCAAGACTTGACCATTCCTAGTTTACAGCTGAGTTTCTTCAGCAAACATTAGGGTTTGTGCCTTGCACTTTCTTGCCTGCTACCTGCTCCGGTGTGGTGCTGCTGTGTTGTTTCAGTGTTCTACATTCCAGTGCTCGAATGCTAAGGCAGTATGGGCTATACCCGCTCATGTTATCAGGAGTTGAAGGAGAAATTGTGGATTTGTTACTTACAAGTTGGAGCCTAGTTGTAGTATTGCAGCTTCACCACTGGAATCAAAAACGTTGGTTCTGGAGGTATTTCTTACAAGCTTTGTTGAACTGGCTGAATGGGGCAAGTTTTAAGTGCAGGGTATATGTGGCGAAGAGTGGTGGGGAAAGAAGTTGTGATGTCTAGCTGGAAGGAGTCTTACAATGTCTCTTCTGGGCTACCAGAGTAGCAGTGTAGTAGGGATTAAACTGCTTGAATGTGCTTTTCGACAGACTGATTGAGGAGGTTGTTTCTAGATGTGGAAATCAGTAGAGGAGGGGTATTTCCAAGAAGGATTGAAATTGTTTGTATGTTCAGTTTCAAGGATTAAGCAAAATTAACATGTTTATTTATATTGCGATGTCTTAGTGTTGCTTTTTATAATAGGTTTGTATAGCAAGTAGTAAAATTGAAAGCAAAACCTCACTTATTCTGTGGTTCTGAAAATTTGATGTAAATTTTATGGTAATATGTACTGGGTTCCCTTTCTCCTAGGACTGTTTGTATGTAGTCACGCTTATTGTGTGTGTGAATACAATTTACACATTTTGTGTTGTTTGCAAATAATTAATTTTCGACTCACAGATGTATGTAAAACCAGGCAGGGAGATAAGTGGCATTATATATCAAAAACAATGGTCATGTTTGTGTTAGCCTAGAGACAGCAGGATCCTGTGATACTTGGAATAATGAAAGCACAGTTTATAAAAATAGATGTGGAGGAAAGTGTAGCTGGTTTAGAATTGCGCTGGCTTCTGTGAAAAGCTGCTCTTGTTTTCTATATGCCAGAGAAAGTGATATGGGTTAAAGGAAAGTACTTCTGTATTGTTTTGCCATGCTCTTATTACCCAGTAGATCATTTGCTATTACTGCATACCGCTAAAGAAGTAATGAAAAATTTCCTGTAAATAATAATAGTTTGAGTGCCTAACCTTTATAAGGTTGGATATAAAAGCCCACTAAAGCCTGTTCAGTCACTGGTCTCTGACTTTGATCGTAATGTTGCGGTTAGATGTCTCTTTTCTTGTAAGAAGAAGGTATCTTTCTACTTTATTTATAGATTCCTTGGTTTGGGGTAGGAGTGTAGGGGGAAGGAACAGTCTGCTATATAGTCATACATCACTGCATCACCTTGGTGCAAAATTTGTAAACCAGCTTTTGAATATCTATTCCTGCAACAGTATCAGATGATTAGGAACTTTCAAAAAGTAAAAAAAGTGTGACTATTCTAAGTAGTGTTTGTGTGGATCCCTTTGTGACCAAACGTGTTACACTGCTGCAGTCTCTTAAATTATGTTAAATCATGATCATTAATTTTGCATTGAGGGTTTTGTTGGGTTTTTTTTTCAAAATAAAAGGTAGAGAAATGATCTTAATGGCTTTCGGTAAGTTTGTTGCCACAGCTTTTGGATGTTATGCATTTCGTGTGCATCTTGGTATTGTACTATCTACTGTAAAATATTAATATTTTACAGAACAATGATCTGTCACTAATGAAAGAATATGCCAGCTCCCAATGCACACAGGGAGCTTTTAAAATCTCTTACAGTGGCTATACCTCCAGTTTTCCTTACACCTCATGATCTTACTATGTAGCCCACATCTCTGACACTTCATTTATCCTGATTTTACATTGATGCTGTTAATTGTTACAGACCGTAGGAAGTTACTGGACCTTAGGAACTTGTACTCTTTGTTCATACATGTGGCTTCGTTAGTGTAATGGAGACAGCTATAAACCTGTGCTATATTCTGGCTCTGGTTCTCCCTGGACAATTGGCATTACCCCTATTTTAAAATAAGTCTCCATTTGGAAGCTGAGGAGGTTCTCGTATTTGCCCAGTGATCCTTTGGAGTAACTCTTCACCGCTTAGAGGGAGTGACTTCAAATATTATTATGTCATCTTATTTGAGAGTTATAATTTATTTCTAGGCAGTAATCAAAATAGAAGTTGTACTTAAACTTCTATACCTGTCTTCTCTTCTGAAAGAGGTGGTGTGTCCCTATTGACGTACACTGACCCATTTCAATCACTGTCTGTAGGATTAAACTATGTATTATATGGCTATATACTTTGTTTTCAGGCTGGTATACAAAGCTGGTGAGAGTCTGGGAATGGACAAGTTGGTTTTAGTCCCAATGTGCTGGCATGTGTGTAATTTTTAATAGCATTCTTATCTTCTCAAAGGTGAGGCCAAGCAATTAAATTAGGGAATTTACCCAGGATTATGTGGTTGCATGTAATGTTTTCACTGCCGTAGCCCTGCTGAGGTACGATGAAGGCCTTAGAACTATTCAAGTCATCCTGAAAAATGGCAAGGGCTGAGGTTAAACAGCCATGGTTCCCAAAGCACAGCCTTCTCTGTTCATGCATGTGGCTCTGATGAATGCAAATATTCTCTAGGTAGTGTTTTGGCTACTCTTATGACCCCTTTAACACCTAATTAAAACACACTTTGGAAGGTGGGGAGGTTCTCCTGTTTGCATAATCCTGGGTTTCCTGATTTCTTAGAAGAGTAGGATCTAGTGACTTAAATGCTTGAATGCTCTGCCATCACTACTTAGGAATTTGGGAATACCACAACCTATATGGGAAAAACAGCTGTTACATTTCCTAGAGTGAGGGAGTATGAGCCTGTGACATGATCCTCTCTAATTAAATTGCTTGGCATTGGGGAGAGGAAGATGCCCTTCATTTTTTTTTTTTTTTTTGAGTTTCAGCCTACTGCAAAAAACAAGATGAAGTTAAACCTCCTGTGCAAAGGCAGATGTTAATCCTCGCCAATGGCACTAAAGTCACCCAGGGGCTTTCCTGGGGGTCTCAGCCAGAATGGGAACATGTTAGACCTCTGCCCCTTATTCTTCTGTCACAGCAGCCCTTAATAACAGGCAGTTTGAAGAATTTTGCTCGTAACACTAGGCACCACGTATTTCTCTTCCTTAAGAACATATTGATTTAAATTCCTAGGCACCAACATACTCCCTTAGGTTCCTAATTTTAGACATCTGTTTCTGTTATTCTTTTGAAATGGTAAATTTTTTTATTGCTGTATTGGTCACCTTAGTTGTATAGAAAGATTTCGTTTTGTGCTCGCCTTTTTCCCTGTAAGTGATACAGCACATCTCTTCGTAACCTCATGTTAACCATGTTTACCTTTGGTGCTGATGAGTAAATGAAAACGTGGGAGCTGTAGGCACGGATCCCTCCAGTGATGCTGTTTACATTCCATAGTTTGGGATTTTTTTTTTTCTTTGCTATTGTACTGTGCAATTTTTTTGCCTGTTCTAATTTGCCATGACGTGGTCAGTGCTGTTTCCTTCCGGCTGCTTGCGAGCCTGTAGTAGAGATAAGGATACATTTACAGTGCATTTTTAACAAGAAGCTGAAGATCTGCTTCATGTAGGAGCTCAGGGACTCTCTGGATTGTACAAAGAATTTATTTACTGCTTTCGTCTGTTTGACACTGTGGGAACCAAGATCTAGAGCATTTTACTTGCAAAATAACAACTTTGCTAAATTTGAACTGTGTGTGAAGAAGAAAGGTGATACACTTGAGATATCCTACAGCTGACTAGGTCAGTCTGGGTTTTGTATTTTTACTTTGAATATACCTTAAAGATGAGAGTTACTAACTGATGTGAAAACTGTGCATATGAATGAAACTAAAACATTAATTTTCTTTTTGTTAACTTTCGTATCTTTTTCTTAGTCTCTTGCTTTTTATATGAAGCCCTTTGTCTTACTTCTTGAAACAGTTTTAAGGGAATGAAAATTTGCAGGTGTTAATCGGTAAAAGTAATACCTCTTAAGATACAAAAGGTGTCTGACTTCCTTGGAGTTAGAACAGTTATAGTTGGGAGCAAGCTTTGTTGTGACTGCAACTATTTCACATAGCTAAAACAATAATTTCTTAATTATGACTTTTTAATTTTTTCCCTCCACAGTGATAAAGGCTATCGAGGTGGGAAGAACAACTCAGGAAAGGATTTCCCTTGGTTTGTTTCCCTTTGAGAAGAGAAGAACCTAGGAACACCGATGATCTAAGAAATACGAACACTGATACTTGATTAATTCCGTGATCCTGCCTTCCTGCCCAGCTAGACCTGGGCGACGCTCTCTGTTCTTTCGCATTTGAGAACATTTTTCTTTGTATATACAGCTGAGACCTGGGAATGCGTTATTATGGCAGCAGTTGTACAGCAGAATGAACTTGTGTTTGAATTTGCCAGCAACGTCATGGAGGATGAGCAGCAGGTATGGGACGGTGTAAGAAACCATATTTGTACAAGTTGGTGCTAGGAATATTATGAAAGCATGAGGAAGAATGTAGTGTAAAACACAAAACCAGCAAACATTGAGGTTATTATTGTTGCAGTAGATCTTTGTGCTGTTTCAAAAGCTTCCTGTTGCTTCCTGTAACTTGCATGTGCAGAACAGAAATTGGTTGAAATGTTATGACTTCTGCAGCATTGCAGAGACATCTTTCTCTGAAAATGTTTTTCCTGTGTTGCTGATTTGTGTCAGTAGAATCCATCCATTTGTGATGCAGAATTTCCCAAATTCTGGTATTTGAGAGTAGTTTTAGCTTTCCTGGTGTGCTAGGATAAAATTCTGAATAAGAGTAACGGTTGTACTACAGATGACTGGTAGGAGCAGTAGGTACCTGCTCACTGCTTTCTACAGATTGGTTTCTAAATTGTGTTACTCTGTGTCAGCTATTCAGAAATAAGCCTCAAAATAATTTAAATTGCTTCTTTCACACTGCAGGGGTGCCTCCTTCTATCTGAGGAGGCTCTAAGTTAAGTGTTGATTATCTAAACCACATCCTGTGAGTCCTGAGGCTTCAGTGAACGATTCCTATTGTAAAAATCAGGTAGCTCCTCTATAGGTGGTGGTTAATAGTAGGGTTTTGCATTTATTAACAGGAAATCAGCTGTCTGGGTGTTGTGGAGAGACAGTTCTTAAAAGACTGAGAAGTGCCATGACAAACTATTCCTCTTTTTTGTGAATATGAAAAACATTTATCCTTCTCTCTTTCAAAATTACTTTTGGCTTTATAATCTTGTCTCTGGGTTTTCTGTATGGCCTAATATCTTGCTGGGTCAGTGGCGCGTTTCTGCTGTGAGAGTCATGCGACATCATTTCAATGAACTGAGTGTTGTCTGTCTAAAGTGCTAACTCAGTTTTGGGTGGAACTAGTAATGTAACTTCCTTCCCTGTATTTTTCCAGAGCTTGTGGTAGCCTGGGGATTTAGATATGGGAATTGCACAAACATAGTCAAAAACGAGCCTTATTTATTACCTCTGTTTGTTGTTCATTGCTGGCTTTACTTTACAAGCCAATGGGAGAGGGGAGAATTGAGATGGGGAGGGCTACTTCTGTGTGGTTTCTGGAAGGAGCAATACAAGCAAATGTCGGTTTTTTTCAGTTTAGCTATGCATTATGCCTCTTGCAATTTCTTCAGATGCTCACCTGAAAAACTTCAAAAAAAATTAAAGTGCACTCAACAGGGCAGTAGAACCTCCCTAAACAGAGCTTTCTCCAGCTCCAGAACAACGTTGGCATTTATCCCATAGCCCCAGTAAATCCTACTCCAGATGAAGCCTAAGGAAAGAAGGCGTCCTGTAGCATAACCTAAAGGTGATGAAGTCAAAAGATGTGACAGGCCAAAGAGGGAGTGCATAGCAGACAGTCCATCACTGCAAGTCGGATGCAAGCTCCTCTTAAATCACTGGGCTGACTTAGTTCAGTTATCAAAGATGGAGGTAGCCAGCCAGCTGGCTGCATGGAAATAGATCTTCAATACTCAGTTACAAAAAAGAAGTCCTGCATAGGGAATGGAGCAAGATTCAGCTTGCTTAGCCTAGGACAAGGATTTATAGTACAACATTAACCCAAAAAGATTGTTTATTGCTTATACCTGCTTGATTTGCTTTTTACAACATAGGAACTGTTGCTTTTGCTACTCCTGAAGTTTCTAAATTCTGACAGTTTAGTTGTATTTAGGGATGGATAACACGATTTGTGTACTTCGCAAAAACTTTAGTTCTGCAAATGCTCTGTGTTGGTCAAAAGCATTTTTTTGATCTTCATCAGTATACAAAAGGTGACATATTTATACGTAGGTGTCATTTAACTGATCTTTGTGTAATTTTTTTAATGATGCCCCCAAAAGCTGGCCTTGCAAGAACTTTGGTACTTTTCTTCCTGTCAAAAGCTTTTCCTGGAGCTCTGTTGTGCCAAGAGCTGTCGGGATGTGGAACAGCTGTGGGGAGAGGTTCGGGGTCTAGATGGCAGCTATGCTCAGTCTTTCAGGGAAGTAATAATTCATTGCTTTCTTTTTTTTTTTTAAAGTCTTGGTTAAACAACCATAAATTATGAAGAGTCCATTTGCGAATGTAAGCATTCAGCCAGTGGCAGACACCAATGGGAAGAACTTAATCACGTGGCCCTGTGTGAATGGGAAAGGCTCTCTCTTATCAGCTTTATCCCTTTTAATTTTTTTTTATTGGAGGGTTCATTTATCACATTGTGCATGTATGGTGAGGAAGAAATGGGATGAAAATATCCTCGTAATTTTGAGAAGGGAACAAGTGGCTTGCACTAATGATACTAATAAGCTGTCTGGCTGCTGCTTCGTGTCAGAGATCCCTGTTAAATAGAGGGCTTGCTTTTTTTCCCCCCCTCTTTTTTATTTTGGAGAGAGAGACTACACATACAAAACCGGGCAGGAGCTCCTACAGGCTTTGGCCGAGTCAGTGCCACTGGCTAAAACTGCTTCATGTCAGCAGCTTCTCCTCTCAATGTCTTTTCATTTAGTCCTTCATTAACTTACAGTTAACGTGATATTTGATCAGGACATTCTTAATTTAAAAAGCTGAATAAAAGCAGCCACAGAGGCTGGATCCATACTAGGAGGTTTTAAATGATGCTCGGGGCACACTGAATCATTGCAACCATTAAATTGCTAGCATGGTCCCCAGCATGACTGCTCTGTGCCAAGAGGTGCTCTTGAGTGGCTCTGACATGTGTAGTAGTAACCTGTGCCTGAAGACACCTCCTGTGTCTCTGAAGGATGAGTCTCTCCTCCCTTCTTCTGAGGAAGAGGGGTCCAAGCCCTTAGGTTGGGCCATGACTTATGCACCATCTTCTCATGCTGTAGTTTGCTCTTCCATGTTCCCTGGTGTTGCCATGGGCTTTCTGAAACATTAAGTCACCGGTCAAGACCAAGGTCTACATTTTTTGGCTCTTTCCAGCTCCTGCAGAAAGTCCTCTCCCTTATCCGCTTGCAGTTTTATGAAGAATTTAAGGAAATGATTGTGAGATCTGTAATGAGGTTGTCTCCCCAGGAGAGCAAGCAGCATTTATCTGCTTCCAGCATCCCTCTGTGAAACTTGGTATTTTCTCAGATGCTGGCCATGGGAGCATCTTTAAAGTCAAGAAGCTACCTCTGCTGTTGGCACAGGAACCTTCAGCAAGAGAAAACGAAAGTCTATTAGTCCCCAAAGTCACTTTGCCTAATTTTGTTTTGTTTTGTTTGGGTTTGTGGTTTTTTTTGTTGGTTTTTTTGTTTGTTTGTTTGTTTTTTTAGTATATGGCCAACTGTATTGCAAGCCTGAATTCTGTCGCTCTGTTAAAAAGCCAGGGTTTTTTTCACTGAGGTTTCTTTCTGTCTTCTTTTTTTTTTTTTTTTTTTCCCCATGTAGCTTTTCCTGACTTCTATCTATTGTGTGTCTTTCTTCCCACCCATCACTCACTTGAACAAAATTTATTCCACACCAGTTAGAAGCTAGTCACCATATTCCTGGGACAAGTTTTCTTCCTCACAGGACTTGTAGTATGAGAAGACGGTACCTCCAGAGCAGAAGAAATGCCCTTGCTTATTTTCCGTTTCCACAACCAGGATGGTGTTTTGATCTGTCAGTTGGTGATAGCTGATGAGAAAATTCTCAGAGAAAAAAAGAAACACCATGTCAGCATGTCAAACACCCAAGAAGAATTTGAGAGCAGGAAGGAAATTGCTGCCTTTGGCCTCTGGAGGAGGGCAGGATTTAGTTTTCAGGGGGTCATGGAGGATGATCGATACTTTCAGGGACCTGCTCACAGCACCTTCTGTGGACTTCAGCATCTGTCTGAAGCTTTGTGCTCCTCCAAATTGTTGAAGGTTGGTCTACAGGACTGGTTTGTAGATAAACTACAGTGAGGAATTTGGTGTCTTAAGACTAGGGAAGATTTCAGCAGTAGCTCAAGTCCTTTATGTGTCCAGCAGACGTGGGAGATGTGTAGAAGCCAAACTAAAGCTTTGACGGAGCTAGGGTGTCATATTTTAAGTATATTTTGCATAAGAAAGATGAAGCAGCAGAAGTAGGGGAAAGGAAAAAATACACAAATTGTTCTTCTATGGATTTATATATTGATTTCTTGAAAATGATTGCTGACACTTTAATTTATGACTTTTTAAAATTTTGGGATACTTTGCACTCTTTCGTTTTGTTAGTGCATGTAAAGCCACCTTTGTATTAGAAATAAATTATTTTATGATCTTGCTATTAGAAAGGTAATTTAATTTGTCTTAATTGAATCACTACCTTCTCATTCTTTATGTAATATTTTCCCTGTGTGTAATTCTCATTACACACTAGCATCAAAGGGAGCCATAGTAGACATGGGCTCTTCTGCAGTTCCAAATGTCTGCAAAGTTATTCCTGTGTTTTAAAACAACAGAGCTACAGGAAGCTTTAGCTTGGCTTTCAATTGGGATTCAGGCTCTTTCAATTCAATCAAGAACATTATACTAAGGTGAGATCTTCATCTCAACAGTCACACAAACATCAACATACATTAGTAGTAGCTTCTAAAACTGAATTAAATGCTTGGTAATGAAATTATAACCAAATGCATATATTGCATAAAAAAGTTAGATGGTGTCTGCAAAAATGCATTTCAAATTAGATTTGTTTGCAGTTGTGTGAATGCTTTTCTCTCTGAAAGCATGTAATGTTTGTTCCAGCCTTTTCACAACTGCGTCAGGAGAGAAGATCCATATGTTGTACCTCTGTAAGGTATGAGTTGGAAGAAAGTGTAACAATGGTTTTAAAAATAGAAGTCCACAAGAAGTGAGATTTATTCCAACTCTTCAGTTCAAAACTGTCACTAATTTAAAGAAACCACATTTAAAGTGTCTTACTATTAGTGAATGCTTTTCTGTTCGTCTCTTGTCTTTCGGAAGTGTACGTCAGCAAGCTCCTTGGACAGTCCGGCTCCGAGTTTAAGCTTCGAGCTTTTCCGCTGCCATGGGGGTTTCTCTGCCTGTAGACAGACACAATGACCGTGTCAAAGTATGTGTATGATGGTTGTTTCTAGACATGGTAAAAATACAGTTTAACCTTGCAGAGCAGATCCCATCTGATCGTACAGAGCAAGCCAACTGCTGCTGAAATGCATGACAGCAGCACTACTCAGTACCATGGGAAACACCAGTCAGTGGTGAAGCGTGTTTCAGTAACACGTGGGTGTCTGGGATTTGGTAATTCAGTTGTACAGCAGAGTGGCAAGTAGGGTGTGATATAAATAGGGCTTTGAGAAACTGAGCTGAAAATGTGTGACAATTGGTTTTGTCTGTATTTTGTTTATTATTCTGAAACAGTTTTTTATGACTTCTCCCTGCTAAAGAATAACAGCAGTGCTGGAGGTGGTTTTGCCTCTCGGAGGCCAAATCAGTGATGTGAGCATCAGTCATTAGAGAAGGATGGTGCTGAGCCAGAGCAGTTCTTTTTATCCAGAAGCTAACATGAGGCTTATCCTAAGCATAGGCAACTTGATAAGTTGCTGCAGATGCTGCAGCCATCAAGTTGGTGCAATGGCAGAAGCAGGGAGGAAAGAGCACCTTGCTTCACAGACATGGTGGGGAGGCATCTGGCCATCTGCCGATGAGTGTGCAGGAGATGGACACCTACATCAGAAATAGGCACCCCAATGCCTCCACCCTTTTACAGTCAACAGAGAAGAATAGGCGTTTTTAAGGCATGATTCATCCTGTTGTAGCACAGGAGCCTAAAACTGGGGAGGAAAATTGTGCCCTGGAAATACCCATTTTTCTTTGTTGGTTCTGAAGGAAACCTGGGGGGGGATTACTAGCTCAAGTCCAAGCATTTGCACCACAGCTGTCTGAAGTTAGGTGAGATGTACTTCACCCCTAGTGTCTATGAGCTAGAGCAGGACGAGAAGAGCGAAGTCGTCTTACTTGAATCTTCCCCACCTAAAATCTGTAGATTTTACCTGCTCAGAAAGATATTGAACAGGTGCTTGCAAAGCTTGCAGGTGACAGAAGCCTGAGTGGAGTGTCATATGTAATCCTTCTTTTTTTTTTTTTTTTTTTTAAATGTAGTTGCATATATGGGCATGCAATATATAACTTACATCCCAGAAGTTACATGCAGTTGGCATATTACTGAAATTGGAGTGCTTAAACTATTTTTGTAGCATGTATTTTATCTTGGTAATGAGGCTTCAACAGACCATCTTCCTTCTAGTTTCTGGAACATATTGTTGAAAATAAAATCTTTTTATAATGCATGCAGTATTTTTTCTTCTCTCTTTGCAGTGCTTTGTCTTGTTTACTGATTTGGCTTTTATTTAAGCAAATCTATTTGTTTCCTCTTGCCTGGAAGCAAATAGGATCTGGGATGTTAGGGTCAGTAAACAACCAAGATGTGCAATGTGAACATGGTGCTTTCTGAGGAACAGCAGGGACCTCTTGGCCACCAGTGGTTCTGTTTCTCAGCCCAAGCAAGATGCAGGCTCTGAGAGAGGTGACCGCAAAGGTGTGGGGTAGAAGCTGCCTCATTGCTTGACTGGGTGTACACCTGTCAGTGTGATTGCAGGGCTTTAACTGCTCTCTGCTTTGTTCTTTTTTATTGATCTTGTACCATGTTACTCTATTTTGAAGATTATGTTTGGTAGAGTAGGTAGGTCGTTTGCAGGTTTTTTGCTTTTGGTTTTGTTAGGGGTTTTTTTGTTTAGCAGACTGTCCATGATAGAAGCCCATAGAACTACTCCTTTTCTTTCTTAGTTCTTCCTTTTTTCCTGATTGCCCTTTCCCACAGTTGTTGCTGAGACATGTTTTACAAAACACAGAGCAATGTAAAGTGGTAATTACTGCCTTTTAAAATTTCTAATTGCACTTTCTGCTTTTGGTGCTTACCTTCCAGACTCTTCCCTAGCAGAGGCTTACTCCCATAGCCCTTGTCTGTGTTGAGCCAATAGCTCTGACACCATTTTCTGTTGGTGGCACTGTGTGTAATGGCAAAATGGTGAGACATGAGCAATCCCTAAGCAAGCTCATAATCATAAGGTTGGGGTTTTTTTTCTTGTGTGGTTAAATAAAAAAACTGCTTGATCTGTGCATATCTGTGCTCTTCTTTGGAGGGTGAGACCAAATGTACATATGCTGGTTTTCTTAGAAACATGTTTTAGCAACTTTCTGGTTTGTTTTCTTGTTTTTAAGCTTGCCACATTCATAGTGTGATTTATTTTTATAGTGAGAGAGCCTTAGAGTTACACTAGACTCTTTTTGAGCCTGCTCTGCTATCATCAGCAATGACTTTCTTCCTGCAAATGACATTTCAAAAGACTCGCTTTGGGAAATATTGTGTCTGTAGTAAATGGTATTTTCTGAAAACCTCTTCCTGTTGAGTGGGTATCTTCTTATAATCACTGGTCAGATTAATTTCTGTGTTCTCAGCTACCTCTTCTGTATCTGATGCAGAATAACTAACAGATAAAAGCAGACATAGGAATGAGGGCGGGGGGAAGTAATGTCAAGTTACTAAGGTCATAAGAATTAGAGAGGGAGAGTACTATGGCACATGTGTGAAGCACTCCCTGTTACACCTCTTGCTCTTGTAGCAAGTGTGCCCTAAAATAGTGATTTCAACAAGAGTCTCGTGGGACACACTGTGACTATGAGAGTTCTGCTCAGTCGTGACAGCCACAGGACTCCTGTACGCCCAGCTTGACGGGAAGAGCAAAAGATTAAAGTGCTTGCAGCAAGCTGCTTGCCCAATATTATTGCCAGCAAAGTTTAGCATTTACTGTGCTGTGCCACTCCTCTGGATTGTCAGTTTTTATGCTGCAAAATAGTGTTGTGAGAGTCTGGTATTACCTACTGGACTAAAGTCAATGTACTAGATATTACAGCCTCTGGCCCATAGTGGGACACTGCTGATACTTGGTTTTATGTGCTAAAAATAATCTCATTCTTTGGTACTCCCTCTTGATGGTTTAATATTCAAGTGATGTTGTATAATTCTCCTGAAGTATTAATCAGTAGATGGTTAGATTGGTTGTAGTGTAGCTACTGTTATTTTAATTTTTGCTTTTTCTGTCCCCCAGCTTGGTGATCCATCTATTTTCCCTGCTGTCATCGTGGAGCATGTGCCTAGTGCAGACCTTCTACACAACTACTCTGGCTTAACCTGTGTGGATGAACCTAGTGACATGATCACTGAGAGCTCTCTGGACGTCGCAGAGGAGCAAATCATAGAAGATGATGATATCACCCTCACAGGTTGGCAATAAAAAATTTCTGTGCTGTGTTTTTACACCAAGGTGGCTGTGGCTAGTGGTGAAAGAAGCTTAATGACAAAAACCAACAGGAAATAAAATTATAGTAGCATTGAATGCTGTATATTCTGTACAAGACTGAGAAAATGGCATTAATACCATTAGCAGGTGGCTTTCAGTCCCAGCTGCATGGCTGATAATGGTGAAGAGTTTCATCTATCAACAGAGATTAAGACACAGAGTCCTCCTCAGAGTATGAACAAGATTTTTCTTTGCTCTTCACAGGATTTGTTTGCTCTTATTTAATGATTGGTATGTACCCAAGTAAACATACATACCAAAAAGCAGGAATATGCAGTTTGAGTAGATACACTGCTTTTAGCTTCCCGAGGGTATACAGTTAGCCGTAAAATGTGCGCGTTAGCGTGACTTACTAATGTGAGTATGCTCAGCAGAGTATTCATTTTGGATCTCTAATAATGGTTTATACTAAATACAGATGTTCTGTGTAAATTCTATTAGAAAAGGTAGCCCCAAAGAGAAAATAACCCTCAAGAGGAAAACTCAAAGATACGTCACATTTTTTAAAAAACAACTCCTCACTGAATGCTTGCATTTGGAACATTTTTGTAGAACAAGTTTGAAAGGTGGGGTAGACACTTCACAGAGCGGGGATCTGTTTCTGTGTCTTTTTTCAGCCATTAGGTTCCACACCTGGACTATCTGCAGGGCTGGAGACCGTTTGCTGGTTACAGTCATGCTTTTGACATTATTTCCAAAGCCATACTCTGATATAATCTTTTACCACCAAAAGCAAAACAAAAACGCAACAAAACATGACATGAGGAACAGTTGACAGAGTAAATTGACATGAGCTGTTCTCAGTAAATGGTTTTATCTGATAAATATGGCTCTTTTTTTTTTCTTAGTAGTGAATTATCTGTGAACAGACTGTGACCATACGAATAAGTTAGCTGATTATTCAAGAAGGTTTTACATACTTAAACATTATTTCAAGTTGAGACCTCTTGCCAACTATTCACTTGCTATTCATATTAATTATTCACACTGCAACTGGCATTTCCTTAGTGTGTTACTTAAGCACCACTTAATGCAATGTGTGAATTTTTCATTGGGATCGTTTTTATGAATCTATAGTCACTGTAATATATCGTGTGTGAATTTTTACTTGCATGAGTAATTGTGAAACTCCACTTTTGTGAATTCTCTTGTTAACTTTTTTTTTGTTGCTGGTCACATGAGAAGGGTTTGCAAATTGCTGCCAGAAACTGAAAATATGTAATCCTTGTAACCGATGGGCTCCAAGGGTTTCTGGGATACTTCAGAGGCAGACAAGGACAGTATTGTTCCCATCATCCATTGTAGTTCAAGCAATCTGTTTTTCTTTAAAGGCAAAGTCCTTAGAAAACTGAAGCTGCCACTTTGCACAGATTATTGTTGTGAAGGAGACATTAACTAATTATCTATTTCACACTTTCCATCCTGATAGCTACTGTGTGTGCTGTGGGTTTCCTTGGAAAGTAAAGTCCCTGGTTTTGCAGTGCTGGATGAGCCCAGGCTGGGCAGGGACCAGCGGTGCTGCTGGAAGCTCCTGCTCAGGATGGAAGGCGGGCAGCTCTAGCAGCTCAGCCCTGGTTTCTGGCAGGGAGCCATCCTACCTGACAGAAGTGGGGCAGAATTTGGGGACCTAGGGGTGCAACAGCATCCCACAGGAGGTGAGGAGAGGACATTAGGAAAGGAGGCCCCCATCACCTTCCTGCCTGCTGCAGGCAAACATTGGCTGCGGCCGCAGCTGCCACCTTGAACTGCAAGGCTGCGATGGAAGAGATGTGGTTCAAGCATGGCTTGCCGTAGGCTGCCTCTGAAATTTCCCGCCAACTCTATTTTTCAGCTGCTTTTTTTTCCTTCTGTTTTTTGAAGTTCCCATCTTGATTTTTTTCATGGGGTGTGTTTGGTCTCAACAATGAAATGCGTTGTTTTGCTCTTTGAAGTTTGTACCAGTCTTTTCAGTCCCTTCCACATTATGCCTTTGAGAAAGATGTTATAAAGACGGCACTAATTCCAAGTTAAAATATTCATAAGACTGAAGTTCACAGCAAAACGAAACTGAAACTGCCATCATTTGTGACTAAACATTACAGAGAAATGGCTGCTTAATACTCAAAGTTGCCAGTTTTTCAGTCTTGTTTTATGACTCTGTCATGTATTAAGCTTCTCTTTTCTCCTAAACTAACAGAAACTAGCAGTAGTTCTCCTGAAACTGCAGCAATTATTTTTTAGGGATCTATTTGCAGAACGATGGACACTGGTAGGTTTTTCCAGCTATAGGATGTAGCTTCAGTCCTTCAAAATCCCAGCTATCACACAGGGGTGGTTACTTATCTGTAGTATAAATTATAACGTGAAGAAAACTATAAGAACAGCATCTGTTTCACATGAAACCCTGCTGAAAGATGGCTAACAACCAGCTTTTTAGTTACATTAATGCTCACACTTTGTTTTTTTAATAATGAATAGGCAGACTTATCACTCTCCTCTTTAAAAGTACTTTGCCCTGGAAAAACTGTGATGGCAATGTGTGTGGTCAGTTTGCTGCCTGTATTATGGGCCTTTATAAATTATTAACCATCATGTAGTAGAGGGTGATGAAGAAAATAAATTGGAGCATTTGGCTTTGAATGAAGTTTTGTCTCTAAACGGAATATTGAATTGTGGTTTCTTCTGTCTGAAAAAAATACAGGGGATAGTGTTCTGTGCAGAATAAATTCTAGGCCAACTTGTCAGATGGTACAATTTGCTACACTTTATTTACCTTCTTAATGTAACTAATTGCAGTTATAAGATGCATGGGAAGGAGGAACTAATTGGATTATGAAACTTCCTGAAAATATTTCTAGTATTATTATTATTATTAACTTTGCCATGCCTGGCCAGTTTAATTTATAAAATAACAGTTAATCAAACTCTACCATTTTGCAGTTCACTTGTTCTGGTGTTGTTTTGGTGGGATCAGGGAAGCAGCTGCACTGAGACAATTTATGGGGATAAGGGACAGAAAATTTGCACTTAGATGCCCCGTGCTCTAGTCTGAATCAGGAGCATGGAAGTGTGCATCTTCATGGATCGATAATGGTGCTTAGTAACCAGTTCAGAAGTTATTTTACATAATTTCTAAGTTTGGTAGCATTTGGCTTATACATTTGCTGAAGCTCTAGCATTCGTGGCACAAGCCAAGCCGGTCGGGTAGGAGAATGAAGGCAAAGAGGTGTTAGGTGCTACAGTCCTGCACAAACCCAGTGCCTTCAGTGATCATTTATGATGCTACAAGGAAATCCAGAGGGGTAGTTAGGTGGAAACAGAACCTCATAGTGTTAATCTGTGAGGATCTTTAGTTGACAAGATGCCAATTGTAAAAAAAAGGGTACGTTTTCAGTTACTTTGTAAAGAAATTATGTAGCATCTGGTTAAAAATGGTGAAGATTTTCCATATAGCTCCTCAATGAGATAATTTTCCTTACAAATTTTAAAGCCGTATTTAAAAAAGAAAATGAAGGGTGATGTGTATGTGACCTGAAATATCTGTGTTCTTAAACTCTGTTTTCCAGTGTTGGTTAACAGTCAGCTTGGAGTTGATATTAAAAAGCAATTGCTTAAATTTAACAGCTAGCTATTCTGCAAAAGGGGGCTCTGTCAGTGTTTAATGGATCTCTTTCTACTTTTATCAACTTCATGTTTCTTCTGGTGATACTTTGAGGCTCTGCGGTCCCTGTTTTTGTCTATAATAAAACCAGCAGTGAATTTAAACACAGCTGTGACTAGCACAGCCTTTCTCTTGGCCTCGACAAGGACTCGTGCTGTCTGCTCTGCAGAGCTGCTGGCCACCGGGGAAGCGACAGAAGCGAGATGGGACTGCCAAAAGCAGTGTAAAACTCTCAAAAAAGATGCTAAGTAGGAGCAGGGAAAGCAGAACTTTGGACTGAGGCGGGGACCTTCCAGGGTGAGGCATAGTTTCTTTCTCTGCCAGGTGAGAAGAGCAGAAAGCTGAGTTTGGGCGGGTCTCACGCTAACCATGAGCGCTGGTCCATGGCCAACCTGGATTCGCAGTAACTGGGCTGTAATTGGCATGCAGGTGGCATGCAGGTAGAGACGCTTACATTTCTGGCTTGCTCAGTTAAACAAGAACTTGTAGAGTACCCTGGGAAAAAAGCTAAGTTCCTTCTGGGTGTGGTGTTCCCTTTTCCCTTCCTCTTTCTTCTTTTTCCTCCCCTCCTTCCTTTTTTCCCTCCCTCCCTTCTATTCTTTTCTCCTTCCCCCCCCTTTTTGCTGCTTTTTTTTTCCTTTTCCCCCCTCTTTTTTCCTCTTTTTTTTTTTTAAGTTTATACCTATTCAAGATAACATTTGAAATCTGATGCTTCTCACAAGTGACCTCCACCACCACCATTCTTTCAGCGCTGACTTCACCAAAGTGTAACAAGCTATTTCATCCCAATTCTTCTTAAATTTATTACTGTATCATAACTGCCAGTGATTGGAATACCTTTCTGCAACATTAAGAGGAAAACTAAAATAACAGACACCAGCTTGACTTTGCTAGTTGAGTTGTTTATCTCTGATCTCTGTCTCGAGTGATGTTAATTATCATCTTGCCGCTTGTAGGACAAAGAGGTTGTGCTCCATCTCCCCTGTGCAGTACACCACACCTTATTTGTGTTAGTTCTTGAGTTGTTGTAATTCAATGTGCTAACCCAGCAAAACCCAAAAAACTGCTTTTGAGCCTTTTATAACACTAAATTGTCTCGCTGCATTATCAAAAAATTGTGAAGCCTAGCTTGTGTTAAGTGACAGAGTTTGGATCATGAACCAACTGCAGAGATGGGAAGAAGACCCACAGCCCTTGTTTTTTCAGCAACAGGGAAGTATTAATTTGTCTCAAACCACTTTGTGAAGTCATCATCTAAGAAAAGGCTTGAAGGGTGTTAGCGATGGCATTAATGAGGTTAAGAAACTTACTTTTGCCATTCTGTCTCAATGGATAGACAGATAGCTGGTGCTCCTTATGCTTTTTGCAAGCATCAGATTATATTAATTTCTATGTTTATTTATATTGCTATTATAAGTTCCTTTCATTAGTCTTGGATAGTGATGGTTGATTTTTAGCCACACGGTGTAGCGGTGATGTAACAAGCTCTGCCTTGCCTGCTGTTATGCAGAGTGAAGAATTGACTCTGCCTCACCTCAACGCCTGAAATCAAGCAGGAGGGTTTGCTCCTCATAGAGCTTTCTCCAAGGAAAGAGCAAACAGTGGCTGCTCCCTCCTCCCTGCCTGCAGCACTGAGAACCAGGGGGTACCACTGCTAGCTTTTAAATTGTGTGTGGCAGCATAAACCAGTGCCGCTTGATGGCTTCAGGTCAGATGGATCGTGGCGAGTTACCTTCCCTTCCATTCAGACAGTGTCAGAACTGATGACAGCTGCTTTGGCAGTGCTGTGTGCCCTTGTTTAGGGTGACATCCTTATCGCAGTCTTTGTTATGCTGGTAGATGGTATGGAAAGTTCCCATACAGAAAAAACCTGGAACCGGAAGTGATGAAGTCAGCACTGACAGGCTAAGCGTGAGCATGCCCGCAGACTGCATGGGCTGCACTTGACACAGGCTCCTCCTCAACTGGCCAGACATTCCCTAGGGATGCTGTTCATCTCTTGGGTCTGAGGAGCTCTGCACTTGAGCTCCTGAGCCTGCAAGTTGCACGACAGAAGTGTCAGCTGTTCATTGCCTTGTCTTGCTCTACGCCTTCCCAAGCCGGGAACTTAGTCCATACTCACTACCTCCCCTTTTCTCTTCACGCTGTCATCATCCCCAGCTCTGCATTTTTAATTTCTTAAGCCTGTTTGGAGATGTCAGCCAGAAGGTGCAGAGCCTTAATTGTCTGAATGTCTGTGCAAGACATGGGGTGGAGGGGGTCCTGTAGACAACAGGGTGAGTTGCTCTGTGGGTCATGGGATCCCAGTGTCCGCCAACTTCACTGTGTCTTAGCCTGAGCCTCTGGTGCTTGGGGCATGGTAGGACTAAGGTCAAGAAAAATTCCAGAAGGTAAGGAGGATTCTGCTGAGCCCCATGTGCTGCCTGTAAATCACAGCTGGGTGGAGGAGGTAGGGCTGATGCATGAAGCTGCATTCATCTTTGCCCTCTCCTAATGATATGATTGCTGAAGCTGTAAATATTTGGGGTGAATCTGGGGGTTATTTGTTTGGTTGTTTTTTTAACTGTGTGATTGTTTAGTGCTAGTGAGCTGAATCCTTTCTTGTTACTGTTTTGTTTTGTTTAAGTGTAGAAATTCTGGCCTAAGCCTTTTGGTTTTATGCAAAGAGGAAATGTTCCAAGGTCATTGCGTTGTGTTTTATGGTGCATTTTTGCTTGCTCTGCCAGTCAGTCTGTGTCCTTTTTTTTTTTTTTTTTTCTCTCTCCTTGAGTGCCCCACCCAAAATTCCTCAAAGCTAAACAGGGAGAGAAGGCGTGATGCTGACTCATTACCGCACTGAGAAAGTAACTAAGGTTCATTGGTGTCCTAGGGAGGTGAATACTAATGCAACCCTTTGTACAGCTTTGATAGGTGGAAGTGAATTCCCTAATGTACCTTCAAATTAATGTCAAAGGATAAGGCAGCCTGGCCCATGCATTTCCATCCAACAAAGAGTAATTTCTAAAAGAACGTGAAACAGTTCTAAAGGTTTACAGTACCAGCTACTGGAACTACCATCTAACTTACTTGTCACGCTACAATTATTTTGAAAAAAATCCTCTGGTAAGGTACTCTTTCCAGTCAAACCAATATCTTCTTGGACAGCTGTTATTTTGCAAAATGATATTTTATTGTATTTTTTTGTGCGTAGCTTCAGATGACCTTAATTATAAATTAATGCTCAAGAGGTTTGGATTTGTCTAATGACCCACCCTCATGAGATTGATGTGGGATTGCCTAGTAGTCAAAATTTTTGAAAAGTCTGACAGCCCTCTTTATTGCTCTTTGTGCTTTATGTTTGCTTTTCAGTGTGTTCCTGGAGCCTGTGCTGTTAGCCCTACCTGTAATCTTCGTCGATTTGAATGGTTTAGGATTCAGTTAAACCTTTAGATCGTATGCTCTCTAATAAAGGTTGTGGAATATTTTCTTGTCTGTCCTCCAGGCTAAATGATAAGATGTTTTTGGTGAGCATCTCTTAATTATGGAATTCACTTGCTTTGGACCACCATAAGAAGAAATTAGCAATATAGGTTTTTTGTTAAAAGATACTGTCTGGAATATTGTTTCTGGTAGTGATATTTGTTAGGGTTCATGGATGTTGTGCTTTACTGCATGTGCTTGATCAGCAAAGAGAGTGATTAGAAAGATGAGGCAGAAACAAAGGCTTTGTGTTGTTTTGGGTTTTTTTTTAATACATACAATCTGAAAAATGTAGTGTGTTAAATAAATGAAATTATTGCAGTGTGCATTTTTTTCCCCAGATAACCTGTTACTACTCACCTAGTAGAAGACCATGTTTACCACTTTTTTCTAGAAATAAAGTAGGAATAAATATGTTAAGCTTTAAGTCCAGTTTGTAGCTTGTTAAGAATTAATTTTTCTCTCTTTTAGTTGAGGCATCTTGTCATAGTGAAGATGAAACAATTGAAACAATCGAGGCTGCTGAAGCACTTCTCAATATGGACTCCCCTGGTCCTATGTTGGATGAAAAAAGAATAAGTAAGTTTTGAATGAAAGCAAATCCAGTCTGTATTTGCCTTGTTTTTGAAAGAAGGAGGGATTTAGTACAGCACGGTTGCATGGAATTGGTTCTGGGTAGACTTTACATACATAGTTTGGATATCAGAAACCCAGTGTTGTATGCAGTGAAAGATTTCATTGCCATGCCAGAGTTGAACAGGGAAGAAAAGAATCAAAAATTACAGAGGGAAGGTGTGAATGAAGTTGGGTGGTGAAGATTGCAGTGTTTTGTTTGGCTGATAGAGGATTAGTCTGTTTATGCTGCCAAGATGAAAGAATAATCACATCTGCAAATTGCTTTAAATATGAATAAAAATGTGTGATCACCAAATAATTTTTGGGGGAGTGGGTTATATCATTAAAGTGTTCTATTTTAGTACTGCTTTTGCTTGTGTAAATTGTTGTGGACAATTATATTCCATTATGAACTAGTCTTCTCTCCCATGAAGGCCTTAAGTGTCCTATTTTTATTTTATTCTATGTTTAAATTTTTGTTATTAAAAATGGCTTTTAAAAGTCCTTGTGGCTGTGTGAAAATATTCCTTTTGTCCCTTTCCCTTAAGCAACTATGTTTGGCACAACTGAAGATGATGATATGGTGGCTCCTATTACACATGTCTCAGTCACGCTTGATGGGATCCCTGAGGTGGTGGAAGTTCACCAAGCCCCAGACCCTTATGCTGAATCACCAGAAACTCCAGAATTTGAACAACCAAAGAAGAAAAAAGGTAAGATGCTACCGGAGAACAGTGGCGTGGGGTAGGAGAGCAGTGGCTGGCATGCTCTCGTCCCCTGTAGGTGTCTGGAACCCTTCTGGGTGTCAGGTCAAAATAACTGAGGGGGCTCAGCTAGAAATACAGAGAAAGCATTTTCTCCCTGGGTAACGTGAGCACAGGTAGTGGTGCTTAGACACTTAAGATGTTGGAGAGGGAGCGATGATGGCTTATCCCACAGGAAACATCAGTCTCTCCTTGTTCCTATAGTTTCTTCTTCAGAGCAGAATTGTGATACAAGCTATAGAGCTTTGTTGCTGTGTATCCTGAAGTACTTTAATTAGCTCTTATTTGGCTTCTACTAAAGATACTTTATCTGTTCAGAATATGGGATGAGAATGAGGAGGGTTTTTTATCATTTCTTGAAAATGAATGGTTTAATTTTATTTATTTTTTAAAAACAGCTGCATGCTATAGCAAGTGTTAGTCCTGTTTGCGGTAGATAACATGTTACGCAGTGTCTACTCAGTGATGTTCCATTGGAGTTGGTGCTGTACCAAAGAGTAATAAAGTGGTGTTAGTGAGACCTTCTGCTCCTGTTTTCCCACCCTGCATCAGCCTGCATCCCATCAGAGGTCCTGAAACTGATGTCTACAGTAGAAAGAAAGTCATGCAGTGCAGGCAGTTCTAAGATGCTGTTGCAACAAATTTAAAAAAAGGAAAATAAATCAAGAGAGTTATGTTTCTGGAACTAATCCCAGGGCTGAATCAGAGCATTAGGACTTTGACAGGTTCCCCTGTGAAATAAAAGCCTTCCAGAACAGGGCTCCTGCTACCCAGCCATGCTCCT